TAGAAAAAGGTGGTATAAGCAGCGACATAATATATTGCTTATTGTATGTTGCAAATATTAATTTCCAACATCTTAGTGATGGATACTTAATCCTTAACTTCTCCAATGATATTACTACTCCTTGATCCATCGCTTTTTAAGAGAAAGAAAATTTGATAGCTTTTTTAGATGCAGCGACGATGTGAACTGTAGGTTACATTCTAAAATAAAATAAAAAATTACCTACTATTACTTGACCATCATAACTCATCCTTTGTATTGCCAAAAATCTCTAATTCATTTTATCTCTCACAACTCCATCTGTCTCCCGTTTCGCCTTAAATTGCTCAGTCATCTCTTAGCTTCCTCCTCTTCCAGAGAAGCTCCTTCTCTCTTGATAACGATCCTCCTCTCCAATCGATGATTTTCCTCTTTCAGTGACTTCACTCTTCTCTCAGATCATAGCTTACAGAGACCAAAAAACCATTGATTTAGGTATTTCTTGCTCCATTCTTCCTCTCCGCTCGTTCCTTGGGTAAGTAGAATGCATTAGATGTGTAGGCAAGAGAAAGGAAGAAGGTTAATGGGCTAGGTTTGCATTTGGATAGAGTGGAGTGAAGAAGCTATGGATGTGTGGGTAAGGGTTTTAGACAGTGTTAAGCACTGTCTGGTAATAGATTTAGAGCGGGATTTAGCATAGATGTTTGCTAAGTCTTGTCAGATCTTCATTTTAGACAAAATAAAGCCTCGAATTTGATAAATCCTTATTTCGAGAATTTCAGCCATAAATCTTAGATTTATATCTCATGAATTGGTGGATTTATGGGATAGAGCTATTTAGATTTACCTGGATGTGGGCAGAACTTCCCAAACAATTTTAATGAATTTACTAGAATTACAAGATTTCATCGTTTGAGAGTTTTCAGCATTTAATCCATTTAAGATTTAGTAGATTTAGATTTACAAAATTTACTAAATCCTAGTAACTTAAATGTAATCATCTTTTTTTTAGACAACACCTTAGAAAAGCAGAAACTGGTTAAGTGAGTATAAGAGGTTTCAAATTGGGTGAGATGTGGGAGGAAGCTGCGTGATTCTTAGAGGTCTTAGAAATGACAAGAAAGGACGAGTGAGTGTGGATTTTGGGTTTTAGTTGAGGTGAAGGAGAGGGAATGTTGATAGACTTAAATGATGATTAAGGTTAGGCTAGGAAGGAAGAGAGTAGGGGACTTTTCATGTTAGGTTTCAAGATAGAGTTTGGAAGGAAAAGAGAGTGGGGATACATTTTTTTGTCTTTTGGATTAGGGTTAGGAAGAAATGAGTGGCAGAATTTTTGGTCTTGGGTTTCATGTTAGGGTAAGAAAGGAAAAATGAGTGTAGATTGTGGATTTAGGTTTCGAGTAGATTAAGAGGAGAGGGAAGTAAATGGTTTATAGTGAATTTTGGGTAGGCTAGAAAAAGAGTGTGAGTGTGGATTGTTCGGTTTCGAATAGAGTATAAAAATAGGGAAGTAGATGGGAACCATGTTGTAACTATATTATAGCACAAGTTAAAATCATACAAGGAAAATGAGTATCTACACATTAATTGTAAACATAGGAATTAAATGTCTAAAATGTAAATATTGAAGTTTAGATATTGAATGTGTAGTCACATAGGAATTAGATAACATGCATGTAAATCTTTTAAATAAAATTAAATCTTTAGGTGGCAGTGTGATATGCATGTAGATATGAATGTTTTGGAAATTAAGCTTGCTTACTCCACTCGTATAATATCATAGAAGTTAAAGTTAAAAGAAAATATCTTCCATTTCCCCTTAGAAAAAGAAACAAATGTTGACCTCATTTTTGGTCACATAGGACTTGCGTGAACATCACCCCAAGAACTGCTGCAACAAGATTGGTCAAAAGGGAATCTGCCTTTTTTTCTTAGACTGGTGTGGTCACGCCAAGAGTGGGCATAACCACACCCCAAAGTACCTTGGTGGGATTCTATATAACCTAGGATTGACCATGCCTCAAAGTACCTCGGCATGGTCACACTTAGCCTAGGTGTGACTACGCTAAGGCGAATAGTTTTCACATGTCAGTGATTTGTGGATTTTGTCTAAAGATTACGCCAAAAATTATCACACCATTTTATTAACAGAGATCCACGGCTCATTAAACATCTTTTGGATCTCTGACGTCAACCCGCCACTCAATAAGATGGCTCTGATGTGCTCAGGCGCTGCCTTCGAAGCCTATAAATAGGCAACTCAGTGAAGAAGAAAGACACTCTCATGCACTCAAACTTACTAGCATTTACTCTAACAGAGAAAAAATAAAAAGGAAAGCAATTCTAAAACACGCATCCTCCTCCTCCTCCTCCTCCAGTCAAGTCTCCTTCTCAGTAAGTCATCTGCTTAGTTTTTCTTAATTAAGAATTTTTTTATTAATAAATTCCAAGTTAGCTTTAAGCTAGGTTAATTAACCCAATAGCCTTGGATTAAGCTAAGGTTTGGGTTTGACTCAGGATGACCCAAACCCAACCTAACCACACCTCACTTAATTAGACCTAAACCTTAGACCTGACCCAACCTAGGTCTAAGCCAAACCCTAACCTAAATCTAACGTAAACCCCGGACCTGACCAAACCAAGGTTTAATCAAAATGCTAACCTAAACCTCAACCTAAATCAAGCCTAAACCTTAAACCTAACACAACCTAAGTCTAATCCAAACCCTAACCCAAAGCCTAACCTAAACCATAGACCTAACCCAACCTTGGTCTAATCCAAATCCTAACCTTAAACTTAGACTTGACCTAAACTAGGTCTAATCCAAACCTTAATCCAAACCCTAAACTAAACCCATGACCTGTCTGAACCCCTATTTAATCCAAATACCAACCTTAACGCTAAGCTGAACTTAACCTAAACATTAGACTTAACCTAACTCGGGTCTAGCTAAAACCTTAACACTAAGCCTAACCAAAATCACTTCTAGCTATAACCTTAATACTAGACTTAACCTAACTCAGGTCTAGCTCAAACCCAAACACTGGACCTAACCCAACTAAGGTCTAGCTAAAGTCATAACCCAAACCTAACCTAGGTTTAACCCAAATCAAGCTTGACCCAAAATCTAACCTAACTCAAGTCTGACACAACCCAGACCTGGCCCAAAACCTAACCTAGGTTTTACTCAACCCAGAAATGACTCAAACCTAAGTCATCCTGGGTTATCCTAATTTAATCTGTGTCAAGACAAACTCAAAGCTAAGCTAACCCAAAACTTGTTTAAGGCAGGTTAGACCTCCATTATGTGTGGGCGGCCACCGTAGTGAGAGTTTGGTGATTGTGAGTGTCTGTAGAGTCTTATGGAGTAAAGTTCAGTCAGAAAACTTCAAAGGATCACTAGGCTAGAACGTTAAAAGGAAAAAAGACATGGCCTTGAAGCTGATGAAAGCTCTCTAAGGGTCTAAACAAGAACCTAAGGCATGGAACAGCCACATCGACAAGTATTCCCTTAAGAATAACTTAATCAAATTCCCTTATGTGCATGATCTCCACATTAAAGTCAAGGATGGGGATGTTTTAATTGTGTGCTTGTATGTGGATGACTTGATATTCACTAGAAGTAATCCAAGTATGTTTAAGGAATTCAAGAAAGTGAGGACTAAAGAGTTCGAGATGACTCACTTTGGACAAATTGTGTACTATCTCAATATTGATGTTAAGCATAAGGATAAAGGTACTTTTATTTCTCAATAAAGCTATGGAAAAAGAAATACTGAAGAAATTCAGTATGAATGATTACAATGCCATAAGCACTTTAATTGAATGTTGAGCCAAGTTATCCCAAATGGAGAATTGGTTAATCCTACCTTTTTTTAAGAGCTTGGTAGAAAGTTTGCTCTACCTGACTTACATTAGGCCAGACACTTTTTGTGCTATTAGAATTGTTAGTCGTAATATGAAGGCATCAATTACTGCACACTTGAAGGCTACCATTGGGATTTTTCATTATACCAAAAGTACAATCGACTTTGACTTATTATATTCATCATCAAATGATTTCAAGCTTGTTCAATAAAGTGATTGAGGCTGAGCCAGAGACTTTGATGAGAGAAAAACATTGCATGAGCGGCATTGATTTTACTTTGTGTCAAAGAAGCAACTAAAAGTTGTCATTTCTACTTATGAGGCTGAGTATGTTGTTGTAACGTCATGTGTCTATCAAGCTATTTGGCTCCAAATTTGGTTAAAGAAGTTAAGATTGTCACAAGAAGAGCCAACAAAGATTTATGTTGACAACAAGTCAACTATCGCTTTCACCAAGAATTCAAATTTTCATGTTTGGATGTAAGCATATCGACACACGTTATCATTTCACTAGAGACTACATCACAAGAAAGGATGTGCAAATAGAGCATGTGAAGACACATAGTCTGGCCAGATTATCGCTCAAGTATGAAGATTTTATAAGGATAAAAAACTTGCTTAGGATGGCATATCAAATTTTGAAGGAGATGTTGAAAATTAAACTTGATTTAAATTGGGCTTTTAATTGAGCCCATGGTCTAGAAAAGTCTTTGTAAGATTCTACAGGCTCATTTTATGAAGAAAGTTTCAGTGATTCTCAAGATATATTTAAAGGGGTGATTTAGAGTTCTAAAATATGTAATTAATAGCTTTTACATATGTACATAGAATAATATTTTTAAAAGTCAATAATAATCATAATTAAAAAGAGTTGGCGCAATCCTAATGGGTTATCACAAATATAAATAGATGATGTGTTTGCGTTTTGTATCAAGTAGATGAAAACTATAAATATGAAACAACCGACTATCCCGCATGACCATCATCGGCTTTGCTTTTCGTCCAACACCATCATAAATACCAAGCTTTTCTTGCTCCTATTGCGATGGAATCAAAGCTTCAAAAAAAAAGAAGCAAAGGTTAACCCATGCGAGAAAAGTTCGAAAGCATATTTTTAACAGCTAATATATCAGAACTGTTCAAGCCACAGAATCTCATTCTCAGCATTACTTTTTCTTTCTTCGTTTTAGTTCCAAAATGAATTCTATTTTAGCTGCAAAGCTACGCAGCCAGGCATCGGAAAGCTCACTCCAAGTCTCTATTTCCTCTACAACCTCTCCATCCATCGTGGTTCTACTAATTTTTGAGAATGGTGAGAGTTGGTGGGATCGCAGTTTGTCTTTTGATTGTCATCATGGACATTGTTGCAGGCATACTTGGCATTGAAGCTGAGATTGCACAAAGCAAGGTGATTAATATATATATATCGTTCTACCTGATTTATGAATCTTCTCTGCTATAAAAATTTTATTTGGCAGGGAAGGAACTTGAGAGTGCTGATCTTCGAGTGTAAGGAGCCAGTTCATCAGGCCTACAAACTTGGGCTCGCCGCTGCCGTGATCCTGGCAGCTGCTCATGTGATTGGCAACCTTCTTGGTGGGTGTACCTGCATCTGCTCGAAGGAAGACTTTCAGCGTTCCTCAGCTAACCGGCAAATGGCTGCAGCCACTCTTGTAGTCTCATGGTATGATTCTTGGCTCTGCAACATTTTCTTTGGTTTATTTCTCAAGTACTAAGAATTAAACTTAATTTAATTCAAATCTGCGAGAAAAAAATAACAAAAAAAAATGAAGTACTTAATTGATGACTATATCATATTGTTCTCAGTGCATATTTTATTTTAATTAACTTCAGTTGTGATTTGTGAGTATTTCGTAATTCCTCGAATATCACCAAAAATTTACTGCACTTCTTAAGAAAGTTGGGCGCCTGAAAAATTTAGTTAATCCCCTAAAGATCATTAATGAGATAACATAAATTTGACATACTGTTAAAACTGCTTTTAGAAATTTTTTATGAGATATCAGACTACGCAACTTAAATTATTTTTTGGATCTGCTGATAAGTAAATAAGACCTTTTTGTAAGGAAGTATGGTGAAATTTCTTTTCTATGGTTGTAGTTGATATCAACATAAATTCTTACTAATATCAGCATCATATATAAAAATAATAATTGGAGATATTTTTTATATGATTTAAATTTTGATTTTTATATTAATAATATTGAAATTTAGATATTACGTAAATGGGGAAGAATTATGTTTTGTATGTAAATCCGTCAATACATTATTCCTTATATTAACGTTGGATAAAAGATATTATGTAAATGGGGAAGAATTATGTTTCTGTCTAATTTCCGTCTCCAGGGTCATAGTTTTGGTCGGATTCTCACTGCTGATGATTGGGGCCATGTCAAACTCCAAATCGAAAGCCACTTGCGGGTTCGGGCACCGCCATTTTCTTTCCATTGGAGGGATCCTCTGCTTTATTCATGGATTATTCGCTATCGCCTACTATACCTCAGCTGTTGCATCATGGGATGAGGGAAATTTCATGAGAAGACCACAGCAGTCCCATCCCTAGAACAAATCTCGAAGTTCTTATTGATTTATAAATTAAAGTGAGACATGGATCGTTTGGGTGTGAAAATTTTACTTTCTGGCGTGTAGTGTGTTTTTTTTATTTTTAATTTTTTTTGTTTCGACGGATCATGTTATGAATCTAAAATTTTCTGACTTGAGAAAATCATATAATAATTGATTTGTTTGTGATATGTGCATAGGGTGTGTTTTTTTAATTTTTAATTTTTTTTGTTTCCTTCAGGTGACGGATCATGTTATGAATCTAAAATCTTCTGACGTGAGAGAACCATATAATAATTGATTTGTTTGTGATATGTGCATAGGAAATGCTCAAAGGTTCGATTAGTAATTGAATGATATCAAGCTCCTGAGCAGGGTTCCGATGAGAAGTTGAATAATTAATCTCCTAAAGTTTAAAGAGCTTTATAGCTTGAATGATCAAAGTATAAAAAAAAAAAGTGAAAAAAACTTATGCTTTATTTATAGTTTTGTCTCATAGTAATATAGGCATTATTGGAAAAAGATGATTGGAGAACCGATTTGGCCCGCTTCATCACAATCTATCCAAGTAGTAAAACTCCTTACACGCCTTGCCTAAGTAAATAAAATGTAACTTTATTATTAGATCAATTAAATAATTCTAAAATGAAATTTCTCAAATAATATATTGAAGTAGGAGCCTAAAAGCTCCCAATATGATGCATAACTAGCAGTCTGGAACATAAGGCAGGGGATGTAAGTTTGCAAGAGACAAACATATTAGATGAAACTTCACAAGGTAAATCATTATTGACAGAACATATAGTATAAAATAAGAAAACAAAGGAATAGAAGTTGTTGACATGTACTCCATAAGATGAGTAAATAGGATTCGGGGACAGCAACAAATAATGAATGCAACAATTCATGGATTGAACCTAATGTATTTCAATCATTGTCTAAGCCACCTAGATGATGATCAATAAAATATTGAATTATGCACTGCAGTTCAAGTATCAAAATTACCTAAAGAACGGACTTCATGATCGAGATAATATGCAAACAGATTGCTGGTGTGATGCACGTGTTTAGTCCGAAATTACTTCAACTGTCATCGAAGTTGTCAAAACAACACCGTTTGCAAAATGGACAATGCGAGCATGTTCGGAATATCAAAATTACGGCAAGAGAATTATTCTACGATCAAAAGAAACAAGCCTGAAAAAAACGATAAGTTGTCAACATGATGTGCGCAATTAGAGCTAAAGTGAACAAATATTCACGAAGCTCGCCCAAACGACCATAATGGATAGTGCAAGTACATCTACAATATCAAATTTTCCTAAAAAGGCCGCCTTAATTGTTTAGATTTTTGCACAGAAAACTAACGTCGAACAAATCAAGAATTAAAACTTAAATAAAATAATAAAATAATCATATTTTAATGAAAAACAACCCTATTAATTGTTTCACGCCAAAGCCACCTGTAATGAATATATGAGCGCATGCCTTCTACCAGAGAAAGCCAACTCAACAGATTATAATAAATAAAATAAATTAACAATATACTTCATTCCCCAGACCGTACACCTCACCCCATTTCCCTATATACTTCAAGCAAAAAAATCCACAGGTCTCCCATAATTTCTCAAACCCATCTTTTGCTCTGGCGTCCATCTATGTCTCTCTTTCTCCTCCAATCGAAATCATCTATGTGAAACCGTCACACAAATTCCTTTGGTCATCTCCCTTGTCATCTCCATGGTCAAGCGAGAAGCCCCGCTATAGACTCAGACCACAGCTCACATACAATTTTGTCTTTGCTCCAACCATCGTCTACAACTGAAGACCTCTCTCCTCATCATCACTCCCTCTTGTCATTTGTTCTCTCTAATGCCTGAACAACATGTCACATGCCTCTCCAGCCTCTTCTTCTCCCATCCTTCACTCTATCCGCAGCATGAGCTCAATCCCTCTCATGTTGGAGCAACCAGTCTCTCCTCCTCTTGCAGCAAGCAGCCCCACCACAATCTTTGTATGCTTTCCGTTCTAGCATGACTCTCCCTCTCGCTCCTCACTGCTACAACCATTCCACCACCTCATCCTCCAATCTCACAAATGAAACCAATCTCACGAAAGACGAACGAATCCCACCTCCCAGATTGTCTTAACTTGATTGGAGTCAAACTAGTCTTGGTTTAGATTGGCTCGACGTGAGTCAGGCTAAATCAAGTCGGGTTAACTCAGGGCCAAACAAGGTTTAGCTGGGCTGATCCATGTTAAACCCTGGGTTGAATCAAATTAAAGTTAAATTAAACTTGGATGAAGTCCGAGTCAATTTAGACTTGAGTTGTCTTTTAAGACTAACTTGGGTTAAGTTTAAATCAGCCCATGATTAAACTTGTGTTGAGACTTAAGAAAAGCTTAAATTTAAGTCTCAAGTCAGGTCGATCCAAGTTAAGTTTGATTGACCAAAGGAAAAGTTAGCTTGGTTTAACCAGAGTTAGGTCGTGTTAGCCCAGGGTACTGAGTTGAATTAGTTTACCCAAGTTTGGTGACCAGAAGAAAATATGTTGAGATTTTCATACATATTTTATACTATTTTTAATGATATCGCACTTTAAAGAAATGTATTTTTGATGTTTTGTTGCAGAAATGATGAATTAGGAGCAAAAAGATGCAAAAAGGAGCGAATTTGGAGTGAAAAGGACCAAAATATGGAGATTTGAACTAGGGCGCGGACGACGCCCTCGACGCCGCCGACGGCGAGTTTTTCCTGATGCTACAGGACAAAATTCTCCAGAAGTCTGCCGTTTGTTACTCTAATTATGATTTTACTCACTCACTCATTCACTCACTCCCCAGCAACGACGCCCACTTAACTTGATTGGAGTCAAACTAGTCTTACTTGGTTTAGATTGGCTCGACGTGAGTCAGGCTAAACCAAATCGGGTTAACTTGGGAGTAAACCAGGTTGAACTAGACTTTTCAAAGTTAAACTCTCTAGTTTCATCAAGTTTAAGTTAATTTAGACTTGGGTTGAGTCTAAGTTAATTTATACTTGATTTTTCTTTTTAAATGAGTTGGTTTATACTTAAATCAATCCTTGATTAAACTTGGGTTGAGACTTAAACTTAAGCTTGAAGTTGAGTCTCAGGTCGGGTTGATCAGAATTTATTTTGATTGTCCCAAAGAAAAGTTGTCTTTGGGTTGGCCTGAGTTAAATCAGGTAGTCCCAGAAGTTTTAATTGATTTTGGGTTTGCTCAAGTTAGGTCGGGTTGACCCGAAGATTGGTTTGACTTGATTTAAGTTGGTTGGTCCAATAATTTAGTTATGTTAACCCGAGTTAGGTTGGCTTGACCCGATAGTTCTGTTGGATTGAGTTAACTTGAGCTAGGTCGGGTTGAACAAGTAGTTCAGTTGATTTGGGATAATCCGAGTTAAGTCAGGTTGACTCGGTGATTTAGTTGCATTAAGTTAACCCAAGTTAGATCAGGTTGACCCTGTGATTTAGTTGAATTGGATTAACTCAAGTTAGGTTGGGTTGATCTGGCAGGCTAGTTGATTTGGGTTAACCCGAATTAGGTTGAATTGACCCAAAGGTTCAGTTGATTTGGGTTACCCGAGTTAAGTCGGGTTGACCCGGTGGTTCAGTTAAATTGGGTAACCTGAGTTAGATCAGGTTGACCCAGTGATTCAGTTGAATTGGGTTAGATTGAGTTAGGTTGGGTTGACCCGGTGATTTAGTTGAATTGGGCCTAATTCAAGTTAGACCCAAGAGAGCTTGAGGCTAAGTGCGATTTAATTCTCGTATGAAAAGTCAAACCCTGCTTAACCTTCAGTCGCCTAGGTCTATGTTAACTTTATATTAGTTTAAGTTTGGTTTAACTTATCTAAAGACGACTCTCCGGGTAATCAGAATTAACCTGAGTTGGGCTAGTTGCCTCTCGAATTATCTTCAAATTTGCTTAAATCGACCAAAGTTTAATTGGATTAATCCAGGTTGACGTGAGGGCCAACTTCCACACCTCAACACCCAAATGATAGGACCGAATTGGGGATTTTAGTCTGTCACTCTAAAATCTCCAATTCTATGCCCGATAATATTATTTCCATATTTATTTGCACCCAACTTCCAAGGGCTTTGACCTCTCTGAATCTTGGATGTAATCTTCACTTTAGTTGTAAAACTCAATATATTTTAACAAATCAATTGGCCAGATTAAAAGTAGATTAAGATAGAAGTGAAAAGATCATCACAATTTCTTAAACATTTTCATGGCTACACCATTTCACAAATCTTGAGACAAGAAGAAAGACAGAGAAAACTACTCAAATCTCATGGGGAAAACACAACAAAACTTGAAATTCAAATATAAAATTAAAGTCATACAAACTACAACAAGTGAATAACTTATCTATAATTTCTCCCCAAGAAAACTCCTCGAAGTTCCTCTGAATCTCTTCCTTTCTTTACAACACACAGAATTCCTCTTCGAAGTAGCAAGGAGAAAGAAATCTCTCACTTTCCCTCCACTCTTACAAGCTCTCGAAGAATTCTTCACAATTGTTACACACTATTGGAACCTTTCTAACATCCAGGAGCTCTAGCCCCTCCTACATTCTCTAGAATCTCTCAATTTTCGGCTAAAATCTTCTTTTAACGTTGTGGATGAGCTTTCCTAAGAGTTGCCTAAGAATCCCTTCAAAATTTGGCCCTATCTAAAGCTTGAGTAGGCATAACCGTCGAGCTCGCCGTCGGCGGACTTCTGGATAATATTTTCCTGTAGCCTCGGGAAAAACTCGATGTCGGCGGCGTCAAGGGCGTCGTCGGCACCCTAGTTCAAATCTCCACATTTTGGTCCTTTTCTCTCCAAATTCACTCATTTTTGCATCTTTTTGCTCCAATGACCCTAATTCATCATTCCTGCAATAAAACATAAAACATCAAAAATACCTTTCTTTAAAGTGTAATATCATTAAAAATAGTATAAAATAGGTATGAAAATCTCAACATATTTTCCTCTGGTTAAAATCCCCCAAACTTAACTATGACTTATCCTCAAGTAATTTTAGTACTATATCTAAAAGTTATGATCTGCTGTAGTAAAGTTTTAATTCAGAAATACTATAAGTT